GGTATACATGTTGTCGTAGCTGCTGGAAATGAGAGTCAAAATGCTTGTTTTACCTCGCCTGCAAGTGCACCAACTGCAATTACAGTAGGTGCAACTGACAAGGGTGATGATTCAATGGCTGACTTCTCAAATTTTGGACCTTGCGTTGACATTTTTGCTCCTGGTGTCGAGGTTCCTGTACTTTCCTTTGGCCGGCCTTCTCTAGATTCCGGTACAAGCTTCTCATCTCCATTAACTGCCGGTGTTGTTGCTTTAAAAATCAGTGCTTCTGGTAATCTTAGTCCTAAAAAAATGGCCGAAGCAATAATCTCTGATAGTACCAAAAATATTATAAAGAAAATACCAGTCACACCAAATAGATTTTTATTTTTTCCTCAAAGTTAAAAAAAGAAAATAGACTATTAGAAGTGATAGGACATTTATAACATCGATTGATATTATTCAATAAATTTTTAGTCCGCGCGAAAGCGTTATTTTGTGATTTTTTGTAAATTGGAGTGCATTTGTTTGTTATTCGTGCATAAAAAATATAATTATGCTTTATATAATTCATTGATTCAATTTTCCTTTCGCCCTATAATATATAAACTATTCATTATATTTAGTTTTGTTTTAGTTAATTCAGCTAAAATCAAGTGTCCACAAATTGCTGCCAGTTCAATTAGAAGATACAATCAAATCTAAGCTATCTGGTTTCACTTAAAGAACCAACTGCTGTTACAGAAAGCACAACCAATATGTAACGTCATTTAAATTTTTGAAAGAATGCCGAGGTATAGATTATAAACCAGTTTGGGATGATTATAAGAAAGCTTCGTCTCAAAAGTTTTCCTTGAAAAAAAAAAAAATAAATAAAGTATTGTTGGTTATTATGGTTTATTTAATCCACAATTTGTTAAAAAACAAAACTAAATATGCTACTTTTTAGTAAAATTTTGATATATGATATATGCAAAGAAAATTAAATTTTACCAATAGCTTTGCATGTAACCTTTAATGGGTCCTGGTAAGAGTCACAACAAATTTATTAGCAAATATAGTTAATTACTGGTATTTGAATGACTATCAAAATCTAAATATAATATTTTTGTTCATCTTTTAAAAAAAAAAAAAAATTTTTTTTTTTGATAACAAAATATTTTTAAAAAATTTAAATAATGAAAAACGCTTTCAAAAGTTTCAAAGAAGGGGCGAATATCCCTGGGAATATCCAACATACAATAGATATAAGACATCTTGCTTGACAAGTTTTTTGGTGAAATGGTTGAATGGTTGAAACAATAAATATTAAAAAGCAACTTCAACGTAGAAATCCAATCTCTGATCCTAACAATAATCAAAGAATAAAAACAACAGCATTTCTTTCATCTGTAGTCATAACAACTGCATTTTAAAAAAAGAAAGGTTTGGATTACCCAAATTTTAGCAACATTATGCCACAAACTCAAATTATTAAGTTCTTTATATCAGGTGCTTTTAATATGCAATAGCCCGAATAGTTATCCAACTTGACTTGCAAGAATCTTTGAATGATATCATGAAAGAATCACCAATGTGGTCAAGAACACTTGATAATTTGTTTGGACCTTCTGAATTTATTGGAGAATGGAATGATGATAAAAATTGGATGTACATCATATACATGATGAAATTACCAACTATTCTTTAGAAAACTCTACAATTGTCAAGACCACACCTAATGTTGTAATACTTAAAGCAGGTCCTCCGGCTAATTGTGGTAGAAATGTTTTTGCTACATGCGACCTCTTTAAGAGGATATGGGTACAATAAACGCCTTGACTTAGTTGCTGATGAAGCAATTTTTCGAAAACTTGTACGTTATAACAAAGACCACCCAGAGGTGATTCCTATGCTTGGGCAGCGAGGAAATGATTTAGGATATGGAATTATTAATCTTGCAGCTAAACTTGGTTCCAAATTTTTAGATAAACTGGATGAAGTTGTAGATTACAGAGCAACTTCTAGAACCATAGAATTATTATGGGTTGCTACTGGAATAGCAATTCATCTGTATAAAGAAAAAAGAAATACAGTTGAATTAACAATGAGTCAATCATCACGTGATATTTTATTATAACAAATTATAATAAATAATATACTATATAGATAGATAACATTAATATAATACAGTAAAATAAGAAGTTATTTTAGATTTTTAGATTAATTTTTTCTTTGATGTATTCATTTGATTTTTTTTTATATTGCTTGATATGAATTTGGATCATTATCAAGCCATTCGTTAGAACTTTTACTTTTTGTTATGCTCTTGTTGTTTCATTAAATAAATTTTTGTGCAGCAGCATTATGGGCACGTTTTTTCAGATAATATTGGAATTAGAAAAATTGTTTTATGTTTCAAAACTACAATCATTTCAATAGTGAATTTCATTCCTTGAATGATTTTATCATGAGTTTATTTATTTTATTTTATTGCCATTTAAAATATTCTCAATTGATTTTATTATTTATTTATCATTTATTTATGTTCAAATTTTTTTGATCTACAATAATTCGGTATAAAGCGACCAGCACAGTCATTCCAAATAAGGAATTTCCAATACAACGATTTAGGAAAAAAATAATTGGCTAAATTTTATGCAAATCTTTTTATTGAAAAAATAATGCTTACCTTTCTATGAAGAAAACTTGGCGAGAGATTTATTAAATGGTCATACAACTACCAAAATTATGTGATACGTGTATTTTTAACTGCATTACAAGCTCAATAAAAAATAATTAATAGCTTCATAATCATCAAGTTACCATAAAACTTTATAGCTTTTCATAATGACTAAATACACAGTTAACTTCTCTATAATAATAATAGATCTTTCTATAATAGATCTGTCTATATAACAGACAGAGGAATTAAGCCAAGCTTATATGTCCCATATATAAATCATTACTGTCTATAACAGGTTCTCTCTATAACAGACATTTTTTGTAAGCCAAATGGGCCATTATGCTGTTTGGTTTTATTAACCTGTCACTCATTCATCAGGAATCTTGTCATTGAAATTATAAAATTAATGAATAACATCATTAACAATTTATAAATAAATTTACTCATCTATTGCGTGTAATATGACCACAGTTCATTCTCTCTATAATGAACTTCACTTTTGATTTATTTTTTATGATTAATTTCTCTCTATTTAATAATAACGAACATCTTATTAAACACTCTCTATAATGAATAAAAGCAATAAAGTTCGTTATAGAGTGAACTGTATAAATAAACTTATCCAAATCTTATATAGTAAAAATAAATAAATAGTTCTAATATGATTGAAACTATAAAAATATTCAGAAACACTTAGCAAAAGAATATATTAATTTATTAATATATATAAAAAATACATCAAAAATGTTCCTTTGCTATGGATCTTGACGCATGTCTCCAAGATCGATCACTTTTAGTTTCTCGTGACTTCAAATCACTCTCAGGATGTTCTTGAGCAAGTGAAGCAAATAAACATGGTAAAGTACTGGAAGTTGGTTTTGATGTTTCATTCACTAGAATTAGGAAAAAAGCTAACTTCTTGTTACGTAAACCCGTATGAATTGATAGACGAGGGGTCGAGTTTTTCCAGAATCAATTTCCAAATTTGGAAATCTCTTGATAATATTAATATTAATATTAATATTAATATTAAATGTTCATCTCATCATACGAAATAGCAATGTTTATTATAAATAACAAAAGTTTTTACTTATTAAAAAACAAGGACAAGACTTTTTGTTCGTTATAACGAAAATCCATTATAACAAGACATCGGGTCCTGTCATATGATTATTAATCTGACCAATCAGTGAATAAAACAAAATTTTAACGAAAAGTTCAGCTCAGATTTTAAAAAAAAGCATCAAAAAGAATTAAGAAATGATGTAACGGTAATTAGTAACATTCCCTTTTTATATATGTGCACGAAATTCTTTGTATGAGTTTAATATAAAACTACATTATAAAATTCAAAGTAAATATCAATCGCCGATATAAATCTTTACTATATATGCTATAAGTTTGTTTAAACGTAATTAATTTATTTTTCTAAATAGAATTTTTAATAAAAACATTTTAAATTTCGCGTAACTTTTAATATTAAACATAATGGCCCTTCCTAATTTGGTATGTAGCACCGAATTTTTGAATATTCGAATAATCGAACACGAACGAAATAATAATAATAATAATAAATATCCATAATAATAATATTACATATAATAATAACTGAATAAAGTCAATGATTGGCAAATTTTTTGACTTGTAATAGGCGATCTGCACTTATTATACATTCGTCTGAATGAATGATCTATTATATGGGGCATGCTGCAACAAAATCAGACAAAGTGAACATTGGTATTATCAAGAATTTCAGGGATCAAAATTTAGTCATCACTATCACTAATGTAACATGATCATGATATTCATCTAGATAAAAATAGTTAATATGAAATTAATTTACATCATTATGTCAATCATACCACCACATCAATCATCTTATCCATCACAATTAATTCATTCACCAAACTCGTCACATTTAACTCATTCATCTCCAAATCCAACTTACCCAGGAAATAGTTATAAATATGATAATCAATCAAGATTACAATAAGATTTAATTATTTATAACAAAAGTTGAAGAATATTTGTAAATTTTTTATGTAATTATTTTTTAAAAGAATGATTTCTTTACTGTAATAGTGATAGTAATTATAATTATTATAATTATTTATTTATTTATATAATATTGCAAATAGTTTTTTCTTTGATGCTCAAATAAAGAAAATATATACATGTAAGATTAAATTTAAATTTTAATACAAATAAAAAGAAATTAATAATGATGCAATATTAATGCTAATAATATATATCTATCTTTTAATTTTACTTTTTTTAATAATGTTAGAAATTAATAGAAACTTGAGATGCAATAATACAATAATATTATTGTTATAATTATTGTTGTTATTAAGTTTTAACCTTTTTTTGCAATGCTGATGTGAGCTGCTTTTGCAATACGCCCAAATTCTAAACTGTTTTCAGTATCCACTTGAGATGATCTTACCGGGGAAATATTAACTAACATCAACACCTTGGAATTTCCACCTACATATGTATAATATACATATATACACATACATGCATATATTTATATATTATTATTATATAAATAAAAACAAGTTTAAAAAAAATCCATATACAACATAACAATAATGGTTCACCTAATGAATTCTTCAAAACATAGGTCAAGGTGGAGTCACGGTAATTGATATGACTCGCATTTTCCTTTATGTTTTGTATAACTGTTTTTAGACTGCTGAGACTCTTGTTAATATTTATCGTTTCAACTTGAAGATCTCCAGTTGATTCGTAAGCTGATATTTTCTCTGAACCTGCCAGGTCAATAAGGTTCAAGGAACCCAATCGTTTCTCATTTGTAACAGAATTAGAACCTTTGATATGAATCATAAATATGCTGTGACTTCTTGAGGAATTATCATTCATTTTTGTAGAAGCAACAATTCGGTTCTTTGTTGCAGATCTAAGCACTTGATTAACATAATCTGGTGATTCAAGGTTTACTAAATAATAATAATAATAATAAAATTATTTATCATCATCATTATCGTCATCGCCATCATCATCATTATTATTTTAAATGACTCTTTTTCTTACCTGTTTTCACATTAGTGATCCTTGTTGAACCTTCTCCAATGTTATGTGTTATCTTCACATCTTTTACTTCTCCATGTGAGATAAGCAAATCATAGATTCGATCATTATATATTTCGATGAATTGACCTTCGATTGTATAATTCCACCCCTGAAACTCCAATTCGTTGACAAGAACAAAGATGTGTTTGAACGCTCTTGTGATCATACCTTCACTTTCCGGAGTATCATCAGAACCTTGCATTGTGTAAGTTTTCCCTGCACCTGTTTGACCATAAGCAAAAATGCAACAATTGTACCCATCAACCACTGATTGGATGATGTCAGCAGCGACCTCAGTGTATACTTGTCCTTGGGTGCTATCAGGTTTGAAAACATGATCAAATTCATATTCCTTTAAAATATTTTTCTTTTTGTTTAGGTAATTTTTCACGGCAGATCCAATCACAATTTTTTTACTCTCGCATTTTTCTGGGTACTCAATATCGGTAAGAGGAACGTCTTTCTCGGCAGGAGTTTGCGGACGGACTCTGCAAAAAACGCGAATATTTCCCTTTAGATCTTGAATGTCATTGTGCAAATGGCGACGAGTGCTTTCGTTTTTATAGCGTTCTGCATCCAATTGTTCAATAAAATTTTTACTTTCTTCGTGTTCTTTTTGAATTATCATCAATTCTTTGGTGGTAGCTTCTTCGGCATTTTTAAGTTCGATAAGTTCACTATTTAAGCTCTTTAATTCCAGGGATTTATTTACAATCTGCGATTCAAGATTTGTAATTTTGTTTTTAATTGTTGATAAATTTTTTTTATTTTCACATTCTTTTTCCAATATTTTTGATATTGCGGCTTTCTTTTCGTTTGTTTCCTTTTTGTTTCTTTTATTTTCTAAAATGCAAATTTCAATGTGTTCTCTGATCGTCTTGATATCGTTGGTAGTGCTGATAAAAGTCAAAATCTTAGTAAACTAGAAAATTTATTTCTTAAACTAGAACTAGAGTAACGACGAGTGGCAGGCGATAACCACCACCACCATCCTTAAAACACTTACTCTGCCAATGCTTCTCCTTTATTGCTTGTTTGTTTTCTTTTTTTTTTCTTGTCATCAAATGACATTTTTTAAAAATTTTTTTAAAAATAAAAGTTTTGTTATGATCGACAAACGCGTACAAGCTAATTATTTATCTCTATTGGTTTTTTTTTTGGTAGGACAGACACGAATTGATTTTTTTTCTCTTTTTTGGAAAAACAAAAAACGATTTATTTTTTGACAGAGTCAAGGTGACAAAACGTGAGCGTTGTTGTTTGGTTTGGTTTGGATCTCCTAAAGAAAACATGTTAATAACTAATCAGAGGTACTTTTTTTTATTTGTATTGATTGATATTTTAGTTCATAGATATTATTTTGATTGGAAATCAAAACATGGAGCAGATCTTGCTGGGTAATTACAAGATTTTCATTGATAATATTTTACTTTGTGTAATCAATAATATTAATAATATTATTATAAATATTATAATCACAAGAAGATGTCAAGGCAGCACACTGTTGAATATGAAACGAAACATTTTGAGTATGCAACGTTTGATTATCGGAAATTGGCAGGCGTTGAAGCATGCACGCTACCTGAACACTTTACAGTCATTCTCACATCTTCCTCGTGTACACAAGGCTAATCTGACTTGCGACCCCTCGATGATACAATGATGCAACCGAATTCCAGGGGAGGGATGCAAAGCCCTGGAAGTTTACCATGACTGCATCAATCGTCAATGACACTTTCACTAATCTTTCCTCACAGCACCAGACCAGAGATGGCTGCTGGCATGCTAGTCGAAAAGTTGCCTGCAATGATCCCACCTCTAGGGTAAGGATGGCACTGTGTCCAAGCTGTTGCAGCTCTGCTGATGAATTGTAGTGCCATGTAAATATCCAGATCCATCAAAGCAATGAGAACCTGCAATTCGTTTCAAGCACAGGAGGTCACAATTCAGAGCAGGGTTGGTGGCCCTGAAATTGCATTTGGATTCTGATGTTAAGGGGAAAGTTGTAAAATAGTGTTTGTTTTTTATAATCACTTTCCTAAATGCTCTGTTTTTTTTTGGTACTAACCAATTTATTATAATTTTGCCCAACCATTCCTCTGTCCTGTAGGTTAAAATTATCACACGATCATATATATCTTTGTCAGCAATATGGCCAACAAGAAAATGTCATAAAATGGTTCAGATTTTGTTTGGTATGTTTTGTACAAGTTAAACATTTTCCCAAATTTTCTGCTTTTCTTTAATTTTTATCTGACCAACTGAATTTGATTTTCAAATGGGGGTAGGGTTGTTGGTGAGCAGGCATGCCACTGACAAGACAGGAGACGCCTTTGGGATATACCAGCCAAACTCATAGAAAGGGATCTTTTGTCCAGACTTAGGGTCACATGGATGTTAAGCACA